TCATTGATAAACCACCCCTCCTCCCCACTTGGGTAACTGGCAGACAATGAAGGGACCTTACCACAGCTTACACCAAAATCTTTGTCTAAAGGCAGTGCCTATAAACAGCGGGGTAATAGCATGATTCATCCATGAGATCATTCCTGAATCTGTCTCTGTGTGGAAATATGCTTGGTGTGAGGAAAGAAACACAATTTGTGAATGTGCAATTTTCCACAACGAAGAGAGATGTTTTTGGCGAAAATGGGTGGGGAGGAAGGGGGGATGGGCCGGGAGCAAGGCAGGCAACACTTAGGCTTGGAGGCCCTCTCTAAGAATAGAAGGAGCTGTCCTCTGTGTCACAAAAATGATCAACTCAGGAAATGGACCCAAGGGGATGACCTCATCTCAAATTCCCCAATGCCAAAAAGTGAAGCACATAAACACCATGTGGAAGCTGCTATTTTATATCACGCCCCCCAGAGGTCACTTGTGCTCCACTGGGAAGCCATTTTCTTCATCATATGGTTTCTGATACATTTGTTATTTTTTTAAAAATCTTTATTGAATTTGTTACAATATTGCTTCAATGTGCTGGTTTTCTGGCCAAGAGGCATGTGGGATCTTAGTTCCTCGAGGAGGGATAGAACCTGAATTGGGAGGCAAAGTCTTAACTACTGAACCACCAGGGATGTCCCTCTGATACATTTATCATAAAATTAACCCAGTGACTATCATTCAATCTGGTATGGTTATCTGAATGAGTCTGTACCCAAACACGTCTCAGAAACTGGTTTCTGCTGGAATTACTAGTTTAGTCATCTTCTTACATAGCTCTGAATCACAAGTTAATTGGATTCATTCCTACTTCGTTTTGGTTGGATCCATACATATGAAAGCTTCCCAGGTGGCTCAATGGTAAAGAATCTGCCTATCAATGAAGGAGACACCCGTTCGATCCCCGGATCAGGAAGATTCCATGGTGAAGAAAATAGCAACCCACTCCAATATTCCTACTTGGGAAACCACACGGACAGAGGAGACTGACAGGCTATAGTCCATGGGGTCATAAAGACTCAGACACAACTGTGCGCGCACACACACACACATATCATACATACAGAAATACCTACGGATGTCCACATGTTTCAGTAAGTAAGAGTATGTGGGCACCCACATCACTCCCCTTATGCACAGGGACAATCCCTGGGCTGGTCCCCAACACAGTGCCTGCATGTCTCACTCACCAGCGGGTTGTTATCCAAAAGCTTTCGAGTCAGCCCTCTGGACTCAGAATGCATTCTCTACTGATGCAGTGTTATAAATGGCAATTAGCCCACACAGTGCCCTTTTGGCCTGCAACGTGACTCAACTAGCCAACAGTACCAGCAAGAGATATGGTTGCAAGGGCAACAGCTCAGAGGGTGAAAGATGGTGAAGACATAAGATGAAGCTGGGTTTCTCTTGTGGTTTCCTGGTTTGGGGCTAACCCTCCATAATATTTTAAAAGAGGTCAAGTTTGCATTATTTCCACCTCCCTCTCTGAATTTGCTTTTTCTCCTCAGGACTGCAGGAGCCTTTCTCCCAAGCTGTTTCTCCATTTCACAATTCCCCCTCTCTCTAATTCTGAACTCATAGATGCCTTTACAGCTCCCAGATTTTCCGCTCCAGCTCCCATGGTGATGGCACACCAGCCCAGAGGACGGGGTGTGACCTGAGAAGCAAGAGGAGGGAAAATGGTTTTAGAAGTGTGGATGAGCTGTTTATCAAGTAGGATCTGCCTACTCAGGAAAGTTGGGCATCCTGCTTACGATTCACTTTATAAGCGGAGGGTCGCCAAGCCAAACCACAAATCCACGCTAGAAGGAGAAGGCAATGAGTAATGTGGATAAAAAGCAACAAGACTCAGTCGGGGCTTGGCAACTGGTTGAGAGAAGGGGAGCTGGTTTAAGGCTGGGACTCTTCCCAGAAAATGGCATAATTTACAAGCTTAATCTGAGAAGAGTGTTTACAGCTATGGGAAGGTTTGATGTTTCAGTTATAGTGAAAAAGACAGGCAACATCTGTTCCTCTTCTCAGCAATCAGCTTCCAATAGCTTGTTTTGAAAGGTGGGATCTGGCAGAGCCTCTTACCACCAGCAAGAAAGATCAAAACAGAACAATCATCTTGTCATATTCCATACAAGCACATGTTCCAATGGAGGAAAAAAAAAGACTGAAAGGAAATATACTAACATATCCATGATGGCTTTGAGGTGAGGCTCAGTAATTTTCATCTTCCTTCTGTTTTTATGTACTTTCCAGATTGTTTTTTTCTTTTTGAAGTGTTATTTGCTCAGTTCTGTCCCATTCTTTGCGACCCCATGAACTGTAGCCTGCCAGGCTCCTCTGTCCATGGGATTCTCCAAGCAAGAATACTGGAGTGGGTCGCCATTCCCTTCTCCAGGGGATCTTCCTGACCCAGGGATCAAGCTCGGATCTCCTGCGTTGCAGGCAGATTCTTTACCAACTGAGCCACCAGGGTCCTTTTAATATTTATTTATTTGGCTTCACTGGGGCTTAGTGGCCCTGAGGCATGTGGGATCTTCCCTGACCAGAGACTGAACCTGCATCCCCTGCATTGGAAAGCGAATTCTTAAAACCACTGGACCATCAGGGAAGTCCCCGATTTTTAAAAATAATTTTGTATCACTGAGGAAAACAAAGACCAAGTCCAAGATCAGATTAATCCCTTTGGTTTGTGTTTGTAGGCACCGACTAGCTCCCCATGAAGAGGACTGAGAACGCCGTATGGGACAGATCGACAAAGGGTGATGAAGTAGCTCTGTGACCAACAAACACATTCCCAAAGTTAACATTTAATGAGTATCTACTGTAGCCTGGCAGGGTACGCAGAGTGTGCATATGTTAATCTTCCACTTAATGTTCTCAAAACTCTGAGGTTGACATTATAGCTGATTTTACAGACAAGTAAGCCTGGGCCTAGAAAGGCTGGTTATTAATTTGCTAGGACTGAGGATCCAGCCTGAGCCATCTCTCTCCCATGCACTTGATGACTCCCTGGCTTGAGGGATGGATAGAGACTATGGTTTCCCTAATGGAGCCACAAGTGACAGAGTGGACATGAGTGGGCATCTCATCCTCACTCCCACTTTGCTGGGATAACTCTGCTGTTAGGGATTTTATTTACTGGTACTTTGTGTAAACTTGCATTGGAAGAATGGCTTCTTCAGCTAAAAAAGAAAAAGCCTGCAAACCACAGGACTAGACAGTCTTCAAGTTCCTTCTAGCTCTAAAAGTCTATCTTGGGAGCTGAAGAGCGGTGCCTGTCACTGAGCTCACGTGAGCTGGTGTGAGCTGGTGCATTGTCCACGCCAGATGACCTTTAATGAATTAGCTGGGGGATACCTGAGGAGAAATCCCAATGCCCTTATGTCCAGGAAGAAATGATGCTTTTGAACTGTGGTGTTGAAGAAGACTCTTGAGAGTCCCTTGGACAGCAAGGAGATCAAACCAGTCAATTCTAAAGGAAATCAGTCCTGAATATTCACTGGCAGGACTGATGCTCAAGCTCCAATACTTCGGTCACCTGATTCGAAGAGCTGACTCAATGGAAAAGATCCTGATACTGGGAATGATTGAGGGCAGGAGGAGAATGGGGACAATAGAGGATGAGATTGTTGGATGGCATCATCGGCTCAATGGACATGAGTCTGAGCAAATTCTGGGGGAGAGAGAAAGACAGGGAAGCCTGGCATGCTACAGTCCATGGCATCACAAAGAGTTGGACATGACTGAGCAACAACAACAACAAACAGTAAGATTATTATTGTTCTTATGGTGGCACTAGTGGTAAAGAACCCGCCTGCCAATGCAGGAGACATAAGAGATGCAGGTTCGATCTCCTCTGGAGGAGGGCACAGCAAACCCACTCTAGTATTCTTGCCTGGAGAATTCCATGGACAGAGAAGCCTGGTGGGCTATAGTCCATGGAGTCACAAAGAGTCGGACACGACTGAAAGCGACTTAGCACTAATAATAGTCAGTATTCCATGAATAAGATGCATGATGGAGGTTTTGGTGTAGAGTAAGAATAAAGATCAGAGTGAGTTTAACAGGCTGGAAGTCTGACAGGTCTGTAGGGGGGGCGGGTGGGGAGGGGAAGGGAAGGAAGGTCACGGTGAATGCAGAATGACCAGGCAGAACCCACGGGAGCAGGTGGGAGAGAAGTGAGGGGTCAGGGGCATAATGCCCTCTGAAGGGGCAACAGTCGGGTGTCACTGTGACAGTGACCAGAGGGCAACACCAGATCTGGTCTGCAGAAACCAGACCTGCCATCTCATGGTGCTCCTGTCATCCTCCACAGGGACCTGTCCTGCCCTAAATAATACCAACAGCTCCCTGATGACAAATAGTGGATGCAGTGACCAGGTGAGTGGGCGAAGCAGTCAGACCCAGGGTGAGGGGTGGAGAGGAGAAACAACACAGAGTTCCGGGATGCAGAATGAGGAGGCGGGGCTTTGCCATGTCAGAGCATCACTTAGTTCTTTTTAGAGCAAAGGAGGGGCTTGTTGATCAAGGGATGCGTGCATTTCTCCATCTGAATCACACAGGTCTGTTCCAATACTGCTTTGCTTTAATATTTGCTGCAGCTCACTGGTCACTGTCCAGCCCCCAGTTCAAGGGCAAGGATGCAGGAATGCCACCCGTTTGTCTGATTCCTTTCTTGACCTACCTTGACGAGGCCCTGCAGGACGGGTGGGCTGCAGATTGCTCTTGCCTTATAGTATTGCAAGAGGTTTAGAAACTGTAGGCAACGTGGTAAGACACACACACACACAAATAGCAACAACAAGGAAGTTTCTTGGCTGAAAAGAAAGTGAAACTTTTTTTTTCTTTCAAATTTACAAATACTGAATTGGCAAGGCGAGCTCTTTGAAATGTAAAGCATGGCCACATCACGCACAGGGTGTCAGAAGTTTTCGCCCATAGGGCTACAAAGCAAGCATGCATATACATACCCAACTTGGGTACTGTCCCGATACGGCAGCACTGAAAATATACTACAGAAGGATCTTCTGCCACTGATAAGGACTATTCTAAAAAATAAAAATAAAAAACACAAACACAAATAAACAAACTAAATGCAAAGCGTCTTAAATTTAAAAAAAATTTCTATAGCAATTCAGCATTCATGGAATTCACAGCAGTATCTGCACCCTCCCGCCACCTCCTCTGACAGATGGTACTCTGTTCTGCTTGCAAAAATGCAACCTCAGGGCAGCAGAAGTACGCTGCCACTCCTCATTTGAGTGTTAACACAGTGAGACCCCGGGGAGGGTCTCTAAGGAACACATGTGCATGAATCCATTTTCTGGTGGGAGGGGCTGGCTGTGGGCAGCCCGGGGCAATGGAGCTATGAGTCCAGGGTGCCCTATGCTGGGTGAACAGTCCTGCCACATTTAAACCATCAATTTCTACTTTGCAGTGAGCAATGCAAAAGCAACGGTGCCAGAAACCGTGAGCAGGGAAGACACTCCGATGCCATTGTGATCATCAGGGATTTTCATATGCTGGCGGCGTGTTAGGTTCTGAGAATAAATTGAGGGAACAATTACATAATCAGTCTTAGCCTCCATTCCTGCTAAAAAGATACTACTGGAAACAGTTCTACATGACGCTCTTATGCAATCAAAGGCCCTTCAAAAAAAAACATTAAAAAAAAACCCAAAAAAACCTCCCCAAAGTACTTATCTTGGCATCTGAGAATAACTTTTGCCAATGAGGATTGCTGATGAAAAAACGGAGAAACAGTGGGGGAGATTAAAAACCAACATTCCTCAGCATGATGGTAACACACATCAGATATGGAGCTTACTGAGTTTGACTATCTTTTCCTTCAATAATTACTATCAGGGAATAAAGCAGTAGTACTCAAAGTTTGGGTATTTTGACCTTGTTTTAAAACTATGATATTCAATTGCCTACATGCCCAGAATTAAGTCAGGTTCCCTGGCATGGGGTTTCCCTGGTGGCTTAGATGGTAAAGAATCTGCCTGCAATGCAAGAGACCCAGGTTCAATCCCTGGGTCAAGAAGATCCTCTGGAGAATGGAATGGCAACCCACTCTAGTATTCTTGTCTGGAGAATCCCATGGACAGAGGAGACTGGTGGGTTACAGTCCACAGGTTTGCAAAGAGTCCGACATGACTGAGCAACTAACACTTTGATACTTTTCCTGGCAAGGCAGGTTCCCAGGCCCTTTGTTTTCTGGCCCTTTCTGCCTCTCTGGTCTCAACACACACAATATTTTCCCCTGCGCTTTATCACTCATCCATGATAGAAGCACTTGCAGTACACTCACTGTTTTTTTCATAAGGTCCCTGGAGGGGACTTTTTTTTTGGTCAAGCAGCATGCATGTGGGTGGGATCTTAGTTCCCCAACCAGGGATTGAACCTGTACCCTCTGCAGTGGAAGTACTGAGTCTTAACCACTGGTCTGTCAGGGAAGTCCCACCTTCATCTTTTAAAAAATCCCTGCTGTTTCATATCTCCATCCTTTGCATGCTATTTCTTCTGACTGTTGTGTCTTACTAAGTATGCTGGGCGAACTCCTATTTAGTCTTCAAAACCCAGTTCACAAGTAACCTCCCCAGGAAGAATTTCCTCCCCTTTCACTGAGTTACTCGTTCCCTTTATGGTGCGGCCTCCACTCTGTTTTTATTTCCAGGAACATCTGATCGCAAAGTGCTGCTAAACATTTGCTGCCCGCTTCTTCTCCATACATGACAGTTGCTCCAGAAACACAACCTGGGCAAGGCGGTACTTCAGAGCAGCCCCTGAGTACCCATCACTGGGAAGGCAGGACCAAAGCTCCAACCTCAGCCTCAAATACCAGCTCTGTCACCTTTCTGCGACCTCAGGCAGCTCACTCATCCTATAGTTTCCTCATCCAAAACCATGGCACAAAAATCAGTAGCCATCTCATTGGAATGGTGTAAAGAGTAAATGAGCTCCCATATTGTAAAGCCTATAGAACAGGGCCAGACAAATAAGACGAGCTCAATAAATACTATTTTTACCAGGAGCTGCCTTCTTGGGTTGAGGTAAGTTTTCTCAACAGTCTGCGGATTCAAACCCTAAAATAATACAGGCCTGCTAAAGGCAAAAGGTCGGGAAAGGACAGCTGAAGGCCAACACACGCAGCCTCACAAAGGTGAACAGGGACACAGAGGTTGGTCTCTCCTCTCTCCAGGGAGATGTTTCTCATCAGATATCACAGACTCAAACCCTAGCCTCAGCTCTGAGAACAGAGCCGAGAAAGCTTACTCAGGCAGACTGAATACACACCTATTAAGTGTCAATTAGATGCCTGCATGCTGAGTCGCTCAGTCATGTCTGACTCTTTGTGACCCCATGGACTGTAGCCCACCAGGCTCCTCTGTCCATGGGATTCTCCAGGCAAGAATACTGGAGTGGGTTTGCTGTGCCCTCCTCCAGGGGATCTTCCTGGTCCAGGGATCGAACCTGCATATCCTGCATCGGCAAGCGGATTCTTTACCACTAGTCCCACCTGGAAAGCCTGTCAATTAGGTGGTGGTGGTTTAGTCGCTAAGTCATGTCCCACTCTTATGACCCCACAGACTGTAGCCTGCCAGGCTCCTCTGTCTATGGGCATTCTCCAGGCAAGAATATTGGAGTGGGTTGCCATTTCCTTCTCCAGGGGGTCTTCCCGACCCAACAATCAAACTGCATTGCAGGCAGATTCTCTGCAGACTGAGCTAGGAGGGAAGTCAATTAGTTATCAGATCCTAAATGCTTTAACTGATGAGGAATGAATGAGTCAGTGACAGAACCAATGCACTAGCTGGTGTGACTGGGGATTTGAACCATGCACTTTAACATCCTGGGCCTCAATTCCTTGCTCTTCTCTAAGACTTACTAGAAAAATCTGCTCCTGCAGCCTTGACCAGGCACCCATGGATGCTTTCGTCAAAGATTTTCTAGGGCAGCTTTCCAGACTGGCCCTCAGGTCACCAGGAGGAGTGTGGGGTGGGGCCAGAGGGTGAGCGATCACAACAGCCCTGATCACAATCGCACAGGAGGAGCAGGAGCCCCAGGCGGCTCCTGCTCCCACTCCCCTCAGCCCGGGCCCCTTTCTAGATGGAAGGATGGGGTTCTCCACACACAGCCCCACCGCCAGTGAGGGCAGCCACCCAGGCAGGCGGAAAGCCCGAGTCCCTTGTGACCCTTCCACATACGGAGGAAAGCATGTGTTGCACAAACTCAACAGGCTTAGTCAGTGGTCCTGCACTTCCTTCATTACTCACTACTGCTGTGGCCTTCCTTCCCACACCCAGAAACTGTTTGGACATTTTTTGAAAATTCATTTGTAATTGAAGGATAACTGCTTTACCATGTAGTGTTGGTTTCTGCCAAACATCAGCATGAATCAGCCACAGGTATACGCATGTCCCTGATGTGTCCATCTGATGCGAAGAAATGATCCATTTGAAAAGACCCTGATGCTGGGAAAGATTGAAGGTGGGAGGAGAAGTGGACAACAGAGGATGGTTGGATAGCATCACTGCCTGGATGGATATGAGTTTGAGTAAGCTCCGGGAGTTGGTGATGGACAGGGAAGCCTGGTGGGCTGCAGTCCATGGGTTCGCAAAGAGTCAAACAACTGAGCAACTGAACTGAACTGATACATATGTCCCCTCCCCCTTGAACCTTCGTCCCACTTCCCACTGCATCCCAACCCTCTAGGTCATCACAAAGCACTGGGCTGAGCTCCCTGCACCATACAGCACCTTCCCACTAGCTAGTTATTTTATACATGGAAGCTACTCTCTCAATTCTTCCCATCCTCTCCTTACCCTGTGGTGTCCATAGGTCTGTTCTCTATGTCTGCATCTCTATTCCTGCCCTGCAAATAAGTCCATCAGTACCATTTTTCTAGAATTTTTGGACATTTTTAATAGAATAAGAAAATGTGCTTAGTCGCTCAGTCATGCCTGACTCTTTGCAACCCCATGGACTGCAGCCCGCCAGGCTCCTTTGTCCATGGGATTCTCTAGGCAAGAATACTGGAGTGGGTTGCCATGGCCTCCTCCAGGGGATCTTCCCAAACCAAGAATTGAACCCAGTCTTAACAACCAGGGAAGCCTGAACAAGAAAATCAGAGACTATAAATGTAAACCTTCTTTCCAAAGTTTCAACCGGGATGTGCCCATAGCTACATGGAATATTAATTCAATCTCACACTACTGCTGTGTGATCCTCACTTCGAGGTACAGGAGAGGCTGGAAGTGTGGATCCCATTCAGAAAAAAACTGTTATTCTAATGCCCCGGTCTAGTCTAGCTACTACAAGGTGATTGTTTCACATCAATTACAGGAGGGTTGGTCCTCCTCTGGTTGGCCATTCTTGAGCAGCTGGAGGAGAGGGCAGGAAGGAAGGAAAGAAAGAAGACAACATCTTGGGTCACCCTCTTCCCATTCTTGGGTCCAACCACCCCTAGATGGCCACTCTTGGCAGGGACCAGAGGAGGAATCCAGAGTAGAGACCTGCACGGCATCCTGCAACAGCTCTGCAACTCTTCACGCCCTGGAGAGCTGAAAGGAGCTGGTAGAGCTCCCAAGAACACATCCTATGTGTTTCCCAAAACATCTTTGGAGTCAAGGGGGGACTTGAGGTCTTCACCAGAGCACACAAGTATCAACAAGTGGCCAGCTCTTGATAGTTTCTTGCTCTAGTGACTTCAAATGGCGTGAGTCTCAAGATGGGTCCCACGTGACCGACTGCTGTGTCTAGAACCCGGAGGGCTCATGTGAATTTGCAGCTTTGTTCTTTACAAGCATCAGGGCGATGTCCCTCATAACTGAGATGCTCACAAAGAAAGTCAGATTTGCTTGCCTCCTTTGAGTGCATTTGTGAAAAAATTAAATCACATGCCAGTTGTCTGGAATGATGTTAAGACAGCCAAACTCCATTTCCAACGGGCTTTGGAAATTCACCATGTTTTCCCCTCCACCATTACAGTTATCTTCTTTTGGGCCCAAATGTCATGCAAGAAGCCCACAGAATTTTCCATCTG